GCTTGGCCACGCTGTAGTGGCTGATGACCGTGTAGAAGCGGCTCCGGGAGCTGGGCTCCTGCGCCGAGTAGTAGGCGTCCAGGGAGGCCGGGATGCAGCGCTTGTGCTGGGGACGAGAGAGCTGGTCAGCACCGCGCACTCCCTCCCACCGCCCGGTGACACCCCCCCACTCCACTCGGGGCCCAGCCACAGAGCAGGGGACAGCGCCCGCCAGCCTCCCCCGCGAGGTCACCATCGCCATCGAGGCCGACACTCCCTGAGGCGGGAGAAGGAGGCCTCACGGTGCTAACTCAGCTGCCTCCTCTGTTACTGGCTGGGTCACCGCCGCGGCCGCTGTGGGCGCCACCAGATCCCCTCACCTGCGGCTCCCATCACCCCACCCCACGCACTGCCCGCAGCCGTGGCCGCCTATTTCCTTTAGTTTGCTCTTGTGTCTCCTCTCCATCAAAGCCTTGGTTCCCGCCCTGGCTGGTTTGGGTCAGCACCGGCCTGCGAATGGAAGGGTCCCAGGTTCGATTCCACTCAAGGGCACATGCCCGGGTTGTGGGCTCGATCCCCAGTAGGGGGTGTGCAGGAGGCAGCTGATCAATGATTCTCTTATCATTGATGTTTTATCCTCTCTCCCTCTCCCTTCCTCTCTGAGATCAATAAAAGCACATATTTTTAAAAGCCTTGGTTCCTGACCACATCGATATAATTATACCAGCCAAGGGCAGATACTCAGCAAGATGCGGGCAGGGGAGCCTGGCTCCGGGTCCCTGTGCCCTGGGCCCTGACCGTCCCCCAGGACCATGTTTCTTCATTTTCCAGTGCATTCTTAGGGAGCTTCTCTGCCAATGTGAGCACCCCTGCCCCGCCCCTCTCCCTCACACACGGCAGCACCTCTGCCTTCATCTTATCCTGGGGGGATTCCGTGTCCGGGTCTGGACACCTCCCTGCCTTATTGTCACCGCAGCACGGAGTCCCCGTGTGGCTACGTCGCAGCGTATGCACCTGTCCCCGATGGCAGTGTCACCATCACCCAGAGCCCGGGCTCCTGCTCAGGACGTGTCTTCGGGAGTCACGTGGCACATGTTTCCTGGGGAACCTGTTTTGAAGGGGACGTTCCACGTGCGACTCCCTCACTTTGCAATGTTGGGTGACGTCTCAGAAACCGCTGCTCCCCAAACTCCCTTCACCTCCCTTCCCTTGGATGGAAATGGGGCAAACCCCCTGTATTTCTCAATGGGGTGCAGCTCCATGAGGAAATGTACATGAAACGCCCAGCGTGGGCTCCCGGGAAAGGGTAATTTATGAAGGCGCATGTCCCCTGCTCTAGATCCAGATCAGACGTGTCTATTCTGACGAAGTTTGTGGAGAGCGGTTATCTAGAACAGCGGTCCCTAACCAGTGGTCTGTGAGGTGTGAAAGGCTGGCGACCGCTGATCTAGAAGGCCCTTCGCTGGCTGACTTACTAAGTTCTCTCCTTCGGGCCTCGCGAAAGCCTGTGGGCGGACGATGCGCGCCCATTTGGCAGGTAAGACAGCTGAGGTTCAGAGGGGCGAGGAGATGCCCTGGGGCCATGCAGCCGGCTCAGGTCTTGGAGGGAAGGAGCAGAGTGGGGCTGCGGCCTGGGGGCCCCTCAGCAGCTGCCTGTCATCCATCTCTGCGGCGCCGTGGGGACAAGGACACAGCCCTCAGACCAGGACACTCTGGCCAGGGAGAGCCCCGAGGACGGGACGGGCAGTGTCCCCCGAGGGAGGGGGACTCTCCTCACTGCGGCGCCACAGCAGGGTGCACCTCGTCTACTGTCCCCCGAGACCAGTCCTTCGTGCCAAGTGGCAGACCCTTGGCCACCCCTTAAACAGTCTGCAGGGAGGGGCGGACCCAGAATCTGGGCGCCAGTGAGAAGAAGACATTGATAAACCCTCCCAGGGAAGCTGCCGTCCCCCGGGCCACTCACCTGCGGAGGCCCTTACCTTGTAGACAAACCCCTCCGGGCAGCTGTGGTCGTAGGTGAAGGCTTTGTAAACCACCAGGAACACGATGCAGGCGAGGAATGCGAGGGCCAGGCTGACCAGGATGGTGACCTGGGGGGACAGAATGGGGTCACCAGCCGGCTTCCTGCCTCAGGCCCGCAGCCTTCGAGCCTGGAGGGGGGTGGGGGGTGGGGCAAGGGACGGGCTGTCACTCACTTGCAGTGTGACCCTGAGCAAACCACCTGCGCTCTCTGGGCCTCGGTTTCCCCTTTTGCCAGGTACTTTCTGAAGCTGCTTCTGGGTCCAACATGACTCCCCCCCCCCATTTACTTTCCCTGCGAGCTCTCGGGGGGGAGGGGGGGGCGGATCATTCCCTCACCACCTGGCGCCGGCACCGAGGTCCACTCTCAGGTGTCACTGCTTGCTCACCTCCACGTGGACGCCCAGGACATGTTCCCGCCCCCAACTCCTGTCCTCCCGCCCCCAACCTGGGCCCTGCACGTTCCCACCGCAGGGAATGTCCACTCTGCCCTCGCAGGCTCAGGCCAAACCCTGGACGTCCGCCTTGACTCTATTCTCAGGTTCTGCGCTCAGCCTGCCAGCAGGCGCTGTCCCTCTGCCTTCAGACCCGTCCGCCATCCGTCCGCTTCTTGTCACCTCGGTCGCCTCCACCCTGGCCCACGCCATCGCCGCTTCTCCCCTGCGGCCTCCGCGCCCCCACGCGGACTCACACAACCGCCACCAGAGGCCTGTTCAGCATCGAAGGCCAGGCCCGGCCCTGCTCTGCTCTGCTGGTCTCATTGCAGAGCCCAAGCCCAGCCTCTAATGAGAAGGACAAGCAAGCTTTCAAAATAACACAGACCCAACAAACCGGGGGCGGTGCGGGTCGATGGGAGAGGGGTGCCTGGAGGATGCCCGGGCCCTGGGGGCTGGCCCGGCCCGGCCCCTGTACACAGCTGGCGGGGCCCAGCCCCAGGACGTCACGCATTGGGTGTTACATAACCAGCTGTGTGTTTGTCTCATGCTCTTTTCATTTCTTTTATTTTTGCATTTCTTTTCTTTTCCCTCACCACCTGGCGCCAGCACTGAGGTCCAATATATATGTTGTTTATATATGTTTTTTCTCAGGTCCTTTCAAAGCTGGCAGCCCACTGAGTCAGTCGGCCTAGACACATGGAGTTCTCCTCTCATGAGAGGAGGGTGTTTTGATTCAGAAGAAAAAAAATAATCATATCGACATTGGGGTCCCCATGCCCTCTCCTGGCTGCCCAGGCCGGGAGCGCGCAGACAGGAGGAAGCGGCGTGCGGCTGCTTCACAAATGGGGTTGTTTGTTGGCATCTGGGCGCATGGACGGGAGGACTTGGCGAAGGAAAAGGTGGACACAGGGCGTCTGTCTGAACCCCACAGTCAGTCCCCGTCCGTGTGAGCATGAGCTGGAGGGTGGAGTCCGTGTG